TCGCTGTGCCCCACCTCCTCCATCACTGCTGACGACGGGCCCAACCACCTCCTCCGAATCTGCTGGTTGTCACCAACTTAGCAGCGGCTGGGAGGAGGAACACGACGCTGCACATGTGAATAGCGGCACGTTCCTCCTCACAGTCGCCAGTGACAGCCAGCAGCCTGAGATGCCATAGCGACCCAGGCGGCCGCACGGCAACAGGGGGATGTCCTGGCCGGGCCCCCCTGTGCCCCGGGCCCCATTGCGGCCGCCTGGGTTGCTATGGTGATTGTTACGCCACTGTTCTTGACCCCTTTCTGGTTTTCATCCAAAACACTTTAAGATTCTGTTCATCCCTGGTTCACCTCCTACCTATCTAAGTGATCCTTAGTGTCACCTACAAATTCATCTCTCCCTCTACTGTTTCCGTAGGGGTCTCCCAAGGCTCTGACCTCAGAACCTTTCTATTCTCTATCTACACTTCACCATTTGGTCAGTTGATTGCCTCCCATGACTTCCTATACCTGTGGTGACGACACCCAAATCTATTGCTCTACTCCTCGGCATACTACTTTAGTCTCCTTGTGCATTACTAATTTACTGACATACCAGTATGGATGTCACACCACTCTCCAATAATCAAAAACTAAGCTTTTAATATTTTCCCACCACCACCACCACCACCACAACTATCAGTCTATCCCCTCATGCCAGCGTTCCAAGAGTAATCTTGTACAACCCCCTTTCCTTCGAACCCCCATTCAATCACTCTTACCAGCTTCACTTTCTTAAGCTTCCAAAACCCAAAACACACAGTTTCCAAACCACACTCTACTTCCTAAGCACCAAGACATTTACTCATGCCTTTTTATCTCTCGCCCTGACTTCTGTAACTCCGGCTTCAGTGACCTACCCTTAAACAGGCTATCCCCCTTTTGTCTATCATGAATGCTGCAGCCAGACTCATCGATCTTACCAACCGCTCAGTGTCCACCGTCCCTCTCTGCCAATCCCTTCACTGGCTTCTGCTTGCCTAACAGAAAACATTCTGCAAAGCAATCCTCAACTCTACCCTGAGCTACATCACCAACCTCATTTCAAAATATCACCCAAACCGCCCTCTCCACTCCTCCCAAGACCTCCTGCTCATTTGCTCCCTCACCACCTCCTTCTGTGCTCGCATCCAGTACTTCTCCAAAGCCTCTCCCATTCCAGAGGATCCTCCGTAGCCTGACCTTTCCAGCTATCTTATACTCTGTCCACATTTGGGCAATCCCAGAAAACTCAGATCTTTAGGGAAGCCTATGCATAAAAACTTAAATTTTTTTCCATTAACTCACCCCACCCAAGAAATCTCACAAGGGTTCTTCTACCCTTTTGTCTTCAAATGTATTGTAAGTCCACTGCCTCCCTTCATATTGTAAAGTGTTGAGCAAGCTGTTGGTGCTATATAACTCCTGCATAATATTAATAATAATAACAACAACTCAAAATGAGTCACCTTCCCCTTTAGCCAAGAAACATGCAATGGTTTCTGTAAGCAAGGCTATGCTCACTCCAAAGTCCAGCTCTTTGTATTCAGATTCCACTTCCTAAGATCTAGCCTCATAACAGAACAAAACATGACAACAGGAAGGGCTCTGCCTCAGAATAACTGAAAGCCAGCTGCAGGATGGGGCCTGCTTATGTTTTATACCAACGTTCTGTGTGACTCTCAAATAAAACCAAGTGGTTGCCCCACTGCAAACGATAATAAAATGTTTCCTCGGAGTTCTTCTTTAACCCTTAGGCCACTTTCACATGGGTGCCAGCTATTCCATTTTAGCAGGGGATCTTATATGGAGTTGGATTAGAACAGAGATGGATGTCAAATATGTGACATCCGTGTTTGTTACGATTTTCCTCCATCTTGGAATGGAGTGAGGTAAACACTACGGCTGGCCAGATGTAAATAGCCTGTGACCGTCTACATCCACTCACATGTCTTGGGACCTAAATAGGCCTATATGGACATGGAAGTTAATGGCTATACGCTTGCTCCCAGAAACTCATAGGGATGTATTGCAGTCCATTTTTGATCCATGTAATCAATGACAGACTGACGGAAAGGGCCTAACTGCGTTCTCCTATGTCAATCCTTTTCAACTTGGCACTCTGTCAGAGAGTATAGAGGTCTCTCTCTCACACCATGAAACGTTTTCTATTGACATGGAAGGCTCTCTGATAACACTGCAGTCTATATAGTAAACTAAACATGCTGCAGTTATTAAAATATGCAGAGATTTTCTATGTTTCTTCACTAATAACCCATAAACTATGTAACAAGTCATCACTTTTTTAAGCCCATTCCATCACACTCAAGCCATGCCTGCGGGTTTTTTTTTTTGCTGCATTGTTCTTCTGCTTCTACTTTTTACACAACACCAAATGTTGGCATGTGTACCAAACTCTGAACAAAACACAATCACTGATGATCTCCTGACACATGTCCCAGAATTTCAGATGGTTCTGAACAGGAAATATCTTTTTCTAAGAAGAGGGTGTTCTGTATAAAGGCGGGCTCATCATTTATCACATTTTGTATGATAGGCACTTGATGTTTACAGTTAACATAACAACCCCTAAGGGCTTGTTCACACCAAATGCAGACCAGATCTGCATGAGTTTCTGCACACGCACGGCAGTGGGTTGTGCTGCGATTTTGCCGCGTTTTTGATGCGTTCTGGGCCGTTTCTGGTTTTAAAAAACATGAAAAATTGTTTAAAGTTTAAAATGGCTTTCAGTGCGTTCCTGGGGGTTTGCATGCATTTTGATGCGTTTGCATGCGTTCCAGACCTGGTAAAATAGGGCTTGCTGCAGTTTTTTTACATGCTCTGGAACTGAACGCTGCGGTGTGAACTAGAGCCCAAAAAACTATTGGAATACATTGGATGCAGTTTTGATTCGGTCTGTCACTGCTCTGCTCTGCTCCTGGAACGCGCTTGGTGTGAACAAGGCCTTACCCTGTTCTTTCTGCAAATGTTGCTTTGTTGTTTTTCTTTATTGTTCATTCTGCATTGACTATTGCTCTTTCTTAATTTGTGAGAAAAGTAGATGTGTTAAATGATTATGTAAAGAGAAAAATGTCAGCTGTATTCTTGTTTAAATGCCTATAATCGCCAAGAGGTGTCCTAGCTCAGTTTACACTATATACTTGGAAATGCAATTGTTTTGCTACATTTCATCATATCATTCAGTGCAGTCTTATACCAACTTACAAAATATAGAGAGAATCAGAACCCACAGACCCACACAACTACCTTTTTTTTTTTTAAAGCAGACCAAGCCCCAGATATAAAATACAGCTAAAAGGCTCCTGAATGTCAGTCTAAACAAGTAGCAAATACAGTTATTATGCACAAGCCTAATGAAGTAAACAAAAAAAACTTCCTTTGCCTTTCCTGGGTGAGCCAAATCCTTCTTCATTCGTGTCCCATGCACTCTCCCTCACCGGCACTGCAGCTTACAGTGGGAGGGTTTCAGCAACAGAGGCAGTGCAGGCAGTCCTGAAAGCAGTGGGCAGGGTTTGGTATGGCTAGGTTAAGTTTGACAAGCTACATGCTTGTGAATGAGCAGTGACAATGCTAATAGCCACATCCCCAACAACATTTTCTTATCCCACTGTAGTGCAAGCGGCCTCAGCCTACATTAGAGTGGCCACTCTGCTCTGACTTCAGGAGCAGTGCAGCATTGTTGTCAACCCATCACAGGAAGCTGTATCAGGTGGACTTAACTGGCAGGATCAACAGGTCTTTGTAGAACTATGATGCCTGACTAAGAGAAAACTTTAAGTGCAGACACCCTTCCAATTACCAATTTTTTAATGGAAGTCCATAGTTCTATGCCGAGTGCATGCATGATATGTAATGTGTAGGTATAACACTTGCAGGTATTTAGTATCTCTTACATGGATCACAGCACTCCCCCTAACAGTGCCTTGATCTTACTCTCCAGAAGACTGACACCATCATCCTTCAGGTATTATCCAGGGTCAGTATCTACTTTGTGGATTGAGATTCTGGCTTAGAGATAATGCATTTAAAGAAATCCCACAATTGGTGCAGTAGCCTCTATGTTATTGACTGTATGTACATATGCTGCCTTGCTGAGTACACCCTGGGGGAGGGGAGACTAAGGAAATGCTTCCTACCACCTTCATCATATTGGAAAGACATTGTTCTCTCTCACCATACTTTTTCCAGGCAGACCTTGAGAGAATGTAAAATTGTTTTTTAATGATAAGCATGCATTTTCTTTGAAAACGTATACTTCCGCTGTATATCATGACATGTCAGATATGAATCAACAGAGTCCTGTAAACATGCTGGTAGGTAATGCAACTGATATAAACGTATCTTGCAATAAAGTACAGATCAGATGAAAAGTCTTTAATTAAAACAAAATAATGTTGTGAAAAGAGATATATGAGCCAAACTAGGATTCCCTTAGCATGGTGTCTGAATATAAAAACAGAGTTTCCATTTCATGTTACAAGATAAAGAAATGGAGAATCATCACAATAATAGGTCACATATATGCTGGCGACAAACAGTCAGCATAATGTATATCCATATATCTAGCCACAGACAATCAATATCTATCTATCTATCTATCTATCTATCTATCTATCTATCTATCTATCTATCTATCTATCTATCTATCTATCTATCTATCTATCTATCTATCTATCTATCTATCTCTGTGTGTGTGTCTCTCTCTCTCTCCATCCATCCATCTATCTATCTGTCTATATCTTCCTTCTTATACATTGTGGTTACATCCAGGTAACAACATGTTTCAGCTGCCATAAATGAATAAATCCAGAATGCACTAACTGGTAATTAATATTTTTCAGTTCAAGTCACAAAAAACAGTACAGTGACAAAAACATTACATACAAATCCCATTGTTGGTTCTTTCATAGCATTTATTTTGCATTAGATACTATTTATGCATCTCATATAAATAACAGGTCTTACCTTCACTTGCGTTGCTGAAGCTACCTGAGCAGACCAGCATCAGTGTTGCCAGCAGCAGCCAAAAAGCCATTTCTCCAGGAGCTGCAATGAATGAAGAACATATTTATTTGTGAAAGTAATTATACACTATAAATGTAATAGAATATTCCAGATGATCAATCCTAAACTGAAGCCAAATATATATGGAAATATTCCAACTCTATACTAAGAATGCAGTACCAGAGCTCATAGTATGTGACAGATGGCTCCCAGAGCAAATTTGCAGTGGTTGCTGTTGCTTTCATGATAGAGGGATACCAAAGGCTATGTCTACCCAAAACTGGCTTTAGTTACAGATGGATGCTGGTAGGTTGAAACACAACTTCCTACATTGTTGTGGATCTTTAGCAGAGAGATGGGAAGTCCATCTCTTGGTAGGCAAATCTGGACTTGCCAGCTATACTTCCCAATTCATGAAGTTTCATTGTAGTCCCTTGTGTAAAGGCTTTGCTATGCGGAATGTTCAGAGGGGAGATCTCACCACTGGGGTTCAGAAATTCCAACTTTGGGGGGGGACTTAACCTATGAAGGGATTTTCTACTTTCACAAAGAAAAGCGAAAACAATTCCACTGGAATGCCAAAGCTGAAAGTCAGGGGTGTGGTTGCTCTGCCTACAACCCACCAATAGTATATTTCTAGTCAGAACCAACAAAAATCAGTATGATAATTTGATGAAAGAGAACATGTCATGAATGGGCTTATGGAATTATTTCAATATCTAGTCCTAAATGCATATAATTATACGGGATGCAGCGAAATTTCAGCCACCGAAACATATCGGCCGAAAATGGCACTTTTGGCAAAACGCCAAAGTGCCATCTTTCGGCCAAAATTGCGGTGCATCTCTAGTCTCTCTCCTCCCCGCTGTGCACTGCTATGTGTTCCCTCTGACACAGCACAGCATCCAGCAGGGAGGAGAGAAACTGTCAGAGGAGGCCGAGCGGTGCGGGGAGGAGAGCGCTGTGAGTCGCAAAGTTACAGGAGGCCGGGCCCTCCTCCCACACCGCCCCCCTCAGCCTTCTCTTACTGATCAGGATGGAGAGCAGTGGGGGGCTGAGACAGCCATGCGCTGTCACCGGAGCCTGAGCCGGCGGTAAAGGGGAGGAGTCAGCTGTCAAAATAGAGCACGCTCTCCTCCCCACACAGCCAGCTCACTCTCCTGTGACAGCGAATCAGGATGGAGAGCAGTACAAGTACTCAGTGATCAGTAAACGCTGACTGTTTGTAAATAACTGGACATAGTATGAGTTACTATGTACCAGTTATGAATGAATAGGAAGTGATCTACATCACTTCCTGTTCATTCATGATTGTGGATATGGTAAACATATACTATATTCACAAGTTATGAATGAACCGGAACACTCAGTATAAAGGCTTCCTGTTCATTCATAACAGGGGATGCAGAAAAAGAGATTGAGGACTCTGTGTCCTCAATCTGTTTTTCTATTTTAAAAGGGAAATATCAAAGGTCTGTTTAGACCCCTGATAGTTCACTGAAGCCCCCAACAGTAAAGTTAGAAAATAAAATATTTACAAAAAGCTGTTGTTAGGAAAAAAACATTTTTTTGGTTTCGACCTGATATTTATTTTCATTTTTGGTTTAAAATTTTAAATACGGTGCACCTCTAATAATTATTCAGGCATATTTGTTGTAACTTTGCCCCCTTATTTTGCTTTTCTTGCTATGTCTAAAATTGGGTCTACAACTTCAAAGGTCAGCTAAAGTCTGTCAACTGCTTTAATCTAATGGTCACTCCTAAGAAAGCCCAACAATATCAAACCACAGAGCCCCATAGTTCAGAGAAATGTAAGCAACTACAGGGCTCTTGTTTTTGGCACTGTAAAGCACATTCAAAAGCTGGGGTGCAGTGAGTTGAAGGGAGGGTTTGGTGAACTGTCAAGCTTCAGACGGCCTTTGACCGTGACTCTCAAGCTGAAGAGTCAGATTCAATTTAACCAAGTTAAATAGGGGGGCAAGTATAAACATACATGAGTGAGCCTGGACAATTATAATAATTTATTTCCAAATATTAAGAATCTTGCATAAATTCACTTGTGCCTGGTTCTCTTTAAGTCCAACACATTAAGGCATGAACCAGATTTCTAGGGGCACCAGTAACCAATTCGTGGAATTCCTGAGACATCGCAGGCTGCAGGCACCTCCAGCAAAAAAATATGAGTCAATACTAATATGACCTATAGCAAGAAAATATTTATGTATGGCTGTTGATTTGATATCTTTTCAACATATAAGTAGAACAACATATAGGAAATGTATGCGGATTAGAAAGAAACTTCCTAAAGGCTTCCATTTTTCTGTTATGACCAGTTATCTATGCACAGCATGTGGCCTGCACATCAGTACAACATATATACTGTGCTGTGTTGTAATGGAGAAATAAATTAAAATGAATAATTGCACAATGCTTGGGAGTTCTCTAGAACTATTTAACTGGGTTCTGGCCACAAAAACAACAACAGATGGAGTTTTCACATACTTTGTGGTTTGTAGACTAAACAGAAGCCAACCTGGCTTGGTTGAAATATTTAGCTTCATATGTTTTTAATTCTATTTCTGCACCATAATAGACCCATATATGTCAACAGATGCTCCATCGTGGGCAGGGCAGATACAGCCAGTCGATGGAACCTGAAAAGATCCTGGTCCTCAACCATCCATTTACCTTATCTATTGTACAAGCCCTCACAGTGTCAGAGTTCACAGACCCCCGCACTCACTGTTTGTATGAATAGAACTTGCTACTTATCCAAAATCAATGTGCACAGATAACCCTCACACTACTGTACAGAGTATCACCCCCAATAATGGCTATAGCTTCCAGATCTAGGGGGAGTGGACTAACACAATCCTCCATAATGTGCAGTCAGGGCTGGATTTCAGGCATACTGTATGCTATATGGCCCCATAGACCACTGTACCTGTGCAAGCTGAGGTCCATAGGTCTTTGGGACTGCACAATTCCATGAATATCTTATAAAAAATAATAAACTGCAGTCTGCACACTATCACAATCAAGTACACCTGTGGTCAGATTATGTACATTATACTATTTGCATACTCTAGCTGCTTGCACTGTGAAATTATTCATTCTCAAAGATCCCTAAAGATCACAACAAACAGACTAAGGTCAGGTTTCAGTATTATTTAACAGCGTAGAAACACGTGCTGACTGTTTACATTAGAGTAGTGACAGTCTGCCAAGAGCCTGTTCTCATAGAGAAAGCTCTCCTGTGTGATGTGAAATTTGCAAACTAAATTCTCCACAATGTTTATAGATACAGAGGTGAACAAAGGTTTGTTTTAAAGTGATTTTACTGCTTGTTCAGAATATGCCTAAGTACAGGTTAATGTTAAACACCAAGCAAAACTAGAGCTCTACTTGCTGTCTGTATAGGAGACTAGATAATATCAATATGTTATATATCAGATATAAACAATAAAGGGAAATATGTTAAATAATACATACAGTATCTTTCAAATAACACCTGTGCTTCAAACTTGCAGTAATGCCACATAGTAGGCACCATGAGGTAAGTAAGTGTATCTCATGTATTAATGCAATCTCTCTCTCTATAATGAGCCCTAGAAATACAAAACTGTTAGCTTCCAAGAAGGTGAAAATTCTGTGAATGAATACTTAGTGGTTGCCTTGTACCTGTGTTGTATATACATACAGGACTGTATTTTCTCTGGGAACAGTATAAATTAAAAGACTTTGGATTGCTAAACCAGTGTTGTCTTCCTGAGATCAATGGGTGCTTTGATGTGCTAGAAAATGGCCAACTAGCTATACACATAGGCTTTGGGAATGCCAGGGCCAGTGTTTAGTCAGAAAGATAATATTTATTTAGAAGGCAAAATAGAGCTGAACATTCATTTATTGCAGTTTCAAAGAGACTACAGTTGCCATCCAATCACTGATGTGAGAAAGATATGATTGTGTTCTTTGGACCAATCTTAGATTCCTCATGTGAGTGAATGGGGGCAACTAGAAACAAGATGGATGGACACAAAGTCCTGTTCCCTATGGAATTTGTAGACCAGCAACAACCGAAGCTAAGTTACGCTTTAGTGTATCCTGTTTAAAAAACCATTGCATGTGCTAGATAAGGTTATAGTGTATGCATGTATCAGGCAGCCTGTGCTGATTATCAGTTTGTGTCACTAGCTGCAGCTCTAGCTTCAGCTGTCAGGTAATGAATTTGGCAGCCTTAGTGCTATCTGCAGTTTTGTATCACAGCTGTGGAGTAATGCATCTGACTCATGCCCCCAGGTGGGATTGGCCTGCATCTATGGAGGCACTCTATGTAAACATCATCAGCCTGTGCCTCAGTGCTTGTGATAGCCATTCCTTTCTTATTAAGTAAGCTCCTGTATTCGGATTCGGGTTTTGACTCTTTGCTATGTTTTTGGGTATCTCGCTTGTCGACTATCTGTACTGACCCTCGGCTACGTTTTCTGGATATTTCTTTGTCTGCTGCCAGCCCTGACATATTGCTATGTTTCCTAGATTCCTCTTCTGCTACTTCTGATCTCACCTTCCACTGCCCTACGCTGCGTTTACTTTATGGGTCTGTAGCAACATCCACAGCCATAGTATATAATATAAACCCTGGGGGCAGCCAAGTACCACTAGGCACACTATATACATGGACCGGGATGTTTGCATACTAGACCTTACAGCATATGCATGTGTGTATTTATAAGCAGCTTGTATGTTTATGTATTGTTTTACCGGTAACTAAGCAGTTTGTGTACGTAGCAATTGTTGTATAGTAAAAGTATGTTAAATGCTACTAGGTCAGTTTCCTTGAGTTTACTACAAGAATCAGATAAATAGCTGTTAACGTTTGTAAATCACACGCAGCACCTGTCCTTCCCGTGAGCGGCCCGATACGGCCGTGCGAGCCACACGGATCTGTACTGTACTGTTAGTCATCTGAATGAGGGCTTATACTTACTTAAATCCAGGCTGCGCCATGTCAGTCTGTCCTTCCTTGAGTGA